GTGAGGGGCACTGACAGGGCAGGGGGGGCTGTGGGTCAGGAGTGAGGAGCACCAGCAGGGCCAGGGAGCTGTGGATTGGGCTTGAGGGGCAATGGAATGGGCAGGGGCAGGGCACCAGCATATGTTGCTGAGCGCCACAAAGCATGGGGGCACAGCCACAGCCGGACCAGCATCCTGATGAGCAAAGGGGGCAGGGACAGCTCTAATTCTCTATTATAAAAAAATAAAATCAAATCAAATGCCAAATATATAGGTATGTAGAATTTATTTTATTATAATGTTTGAGGCACTTGTAGGCTTCCAAATTGCTTTAAAATTTGAACTATATCAATAAAACACTGTGTTTAAATTGATACCTATATATACAGTGCTGTTCCATTTTAATCATAGGGAAATGTGGATTTGGGTTTTTTTAAGAGATTTGGGGATTTTTATCAGAGAATTTGCAGCTTTTAAACAGAAAAAACAAGATCCCTAGTCATAACTAACGTGTATCTTTTAGTTCTCCTCATGTCCTTGAGAAGAAAGTCTATCTTCTTTTTTTACATCTGCCAGATAGACACATACATTTATATAGGAAGTAAATATTTTACAGTTAACTCTCATATATTCCTCCCCATAATTTAAACTGAGCATAAATCTGTATAACAGATGATTAACTCCCAAAGATATATTGATACAGTTAAAATCAATGAAAAAAAACAACTTCAGCTTAGAACTGATATTCATTGTTTAGTTTCACATTTATATATTACATTTTTACAGTTTGTTAATAAGTGCTGGTAATAAATCCTGGGCGTGCTTTTCAGATTTCTATTTGTAAGAATAAATCTCAATTAGAAAAGGATGTGTAAGATTAAAAAAAAATCCCTCAGGAATTTTTCCAGGGCTGAATAAATAAAAAAAATGTGCAAATATTGAAATTACTAATCAAATTTATACTTAGCCCCCCCATTAGCTAATGTTATGTGAATATGTAAATCATAGGCTAGAGATGGAGCCTTACATGCTATTTTCTCTCTGTAGATTGCATCCTTTATTTAAAAAAAAAAAAGGACTTTACATTTGCTGTTTTATGGTAGTTGCATATGCTTCCAAGTTTCTTGGAAAGCAGCTCCTTGAAATAATTGAAAAGAAAGCCATTGACTTTTATGGGATCTGGAAAATGAGCACTTGGGATAGGCAAATTTAAATAAAACAATATTTTAAGTGAATGGGGAAATGTCCTTTTTCAGAATCATGTCTTTTGGTCTCCGGTTAACAAAGTTGATTGTGACTGGGTCAGTGATATTTGCCCAGGGAAAGATCAGCATGCACAGGACTTACAGGCTGAAGAGCTGCTTTTCAGAATTCATCTTTAAATGAGAGCAAAATCAACCCTGCCAGAACAGTGTAGAATGCTGCAAAGGAACACTGGATTTTGACATGCTTCTGAAATAATCTGTTTCTATTCATAGTGATGACGTCAGATCAGCAAACATTATTGCAGATGAAAATGACGTGGAGTGCCTTGTTATAGACCGAGAGTAAGTACCACGCTACTGTTTAGTAAACTGTGGACATTATTACAGGCCACCAAACCAAGGGGAGGAGCTGGATCTGGACAAGGGACTTGGCTGTCATGGGTGACTTCAAATACCCGGACATAGATTGGGAGGAGCACTTGGCTAGGTCCGATTATTCATGCAGCTTCCTGACTGTGATCGAGGAGCTCTTCCTGACGTAGGAAGTGCAAGGGCCAACGAGAGGTAATGTTCTCCTAGACCTGATCTTGGCCAAGGGAGATGATCTGGTGCATGGCTTGAGACAGCAACCATGAAATTATCAGGTTCACCATCCGTCACAAGGTCAACAAATCAACCAGCAGGATTAAAATCCTGGACTTCAAGAATGCTGACTTTGACAGGCTCAGAGCATTAGTAGGGGAGGTGGTGAGAGACCAGGAAGGGAAGGCAAATGGGGTGCACAAACGGTGGTCATTGCTCAAGGATGCGATCCTCAAAGTGCAAAAGAACACCGTTCCTGCAAAGAGGAAAGGTAGGCGGAGGGCTGGCAAGCCTTCCTGGCTTAATGGGGACATTGCAGTCCTCTTAAAAAAGAAAAAAGAGGTGTACACACAGTGGAAACTAGGGATGGTCCTCAAGGAGGACTATACTTTAGCGGCCAGCACTTGTAGGGCCATGATCAGGAAAACCAAGGCAGTGACTGAGTTTAGGTTAGGGACAGGAGTCAAGGACAATAAGAAGTCCTTCATATATGTAAGCAGTAGAAAACAAATAGAAGTGTGGGACCCCTGCTTAACACCTCGGGACAGCTGATAACTGACATTCAGGAGAAAACTGAACTCCTGAATGCCCACTTTCATTTGGTATTTTACCGGACCATGGGAAAAGTCAAGTGAGGTAAGGCTCATAGGGAACATGCCAGGACTGACTGCCTCCACACTATGGATGCTGAGTGGGTACAATACCAACTAGAAAAGCTAGACATAAGTCACCAGGACCAGATGGACTCCATCTGAGAGTGCTGGAGGAGCTGGCTGAGGTCATTGCGGAACTCCTGGCAAAGCTCTTTCAGTATTCGTGACACACAGGGAAGATCCCTGAGGATTGGAAGAGGGCCAACATTGTGCCCATTTTCAAGAAGGGGAAGATGGAGAACCAAGGCAACTATAGGCCAACCAGCCTAACCTCTATTTCAGGACATTCTTGGAAAAGCTCATTAAAGAATCCATGTGCAATACGCTCATGGAAGGTAAGATTCTGAATGACAGCAAGCATGGCTTTGTCGTGGGTAGGTCTTGTCTCCTTCTACAACCAGGTCTCTCGCCACATGGACATGGGAGACAAGGTAGATGTTATATACCTAGACTTCCAAGCCTTTTGATCTAGTATCCCACAATATCCTTGTGGGAAAACTGGAAGATTGTGGGCTCAGCTGCTCGACAGTTCAGTGGGTGGGAAACTGGCTACAGGGTAGGACCCAGAGAGTTGCCATGAACGGATCTGTGTCATCCTGGTGTGAAGTAGCAAGTGGTGTTCCTCAGGGGTCTGTGCTTGGACTGGTGCTTCTCAA